CCATTTGCTCCTCAGAAGATTGATACTACCTAATCCTCATGTTTAAAAGTAAACACAAAATTGTATCAGTATCATAACAAAATGAACATGTCATAAGCAGCTAAAATACTGTAAAATTGTGGGAATATTAGTAAATTAAAAGTCTTGTAGTATAACTTGGCAATTGTGTCATATTTATAGCAATTTACCTTTGAAATTTCGATGTGATGGGAAAAGTAATATAACACTGAAACTAATTCAAGAACGTTTTGTAATAGGTTGAGAACATTTTTAATAACCAAGAATACCGTACGGCATTTTTTAACCGTTAAAACACATTTACGCTGTTACACGTTATATTTACGACTAAAGCACAGCCAACAAGACATTTATTATGTGAATACGAAATTTAAATGTAAATATTAAAGCGAAGAAGCGTTCCGATTCAAGGTTTGGTACCCAACAGCGTATGGCAGGTAACAATATCGTGAACTGTCCAGTCACATACTAGCCACGGTACAAAAAGCATTGCACCAGTCAACCTTAATTTATATCAAATAAATACACAGAAACATTTCCATACTGTCTCACGTAGTAAAATTAAGATAATTAATTTGTTTTAATTCGCTTAGTGGGGGGTGCAGTCCAACTGGGTCCACTCTGCACGCAGGCCACTGATTGGCCTATTACAGCCTGCCCCGGTGATTATAATGATGGAGAATTTGGTGGAATGAAGATTGGCAGGGGAAACCCTACAATAAAATTAACATGACCGTTACAACTGGTCTTCGAATATAAACAGTAACCGCCTACTGTTAAACCGGCTTTATGGAAGGCTGAAATAAATAAAGTGTACGCGATTATATTTCGCCCAAATCTGTTTCAACTTCGGTAAAAGAAAAGGTGCGTGAAGAGTTTCCGAGTCCAAGGCAAAGTATTGGGCATGGAAATGTCATGTTGGCAACTCTCAAATACTAAAAGATAATGTTAGAGTTGGCAACATAATAGTAAACATTTTAAGAACTAGGTTATGTCTTGTTACCTAAGTGATGTATACTGTTATGTGTTACTATGGTTATAAGTTTGTGTGTATATAAGGCGTACTTCTGTATCAAATTTCGGAGTCATAAAGCATAGTAAAGTGAACACTGATTCTTACTTATCATTCGATCTACGGGAAACTGAAAATAACAGGAAAGGAGTCCTATTCGCATGACATTGGTATGACCGGCGAATCACAGACGCGAAAAGAATATGCAGGTGTTCCTCAAGAACACCTGCAACTCTCCCCCCCCCTTCCCGGAGTGACGTAATTTAATAATAGCGTCAGTGGAGCAAGGCCCGCAGTCTGTGTTGTACTGAGACAGAGAGCAGTTGAAGGTGACAGTGTGTTGAGGGTGTTGAGAGACGCTAGTGTAGGTCGTGTATGTTTACACCGTGTTTGAGTGTTAAATCTTCATTTTAAGCGATTCGCTTGTGCCTTTTGTGCCATCGCTTAAAACCGAAAGCCCAGCCATGCCTCGTATAACGATAAAAGGTGGATTGTGGAGGAACACAGAGGATGAGATCTTGAAGGCAGCAGTGATGAAATACGGGAAAAACCAATGGTACCATACTGCAACATTGTTACATAGGAAATCAGCAAATGAATGCAAGGCCCGTTGGTATGGATTTCTTGATCCGTGTATAAAGAAAACAGAGTGGAGCCGTGACGAAGACGAGAAACTATTGCATCTAGCAAAATTGATGCCAACTCAGTGGCGAACCATTGCATCCATCATTGGAAGAACAGCAGTGCAGTGTTTGGAACGTTACGAGTACCTGCTGGATCAGGCACAGAAGGAAGTTGATGGAGAGGCTGCTGCAGATAGCCCACGCAAGTTGAAGCCTGGGGAAATTGACCCCAATCCAGAGACAGAAGCTGCACGTCCAGATCCCAAGGACATGGATGAAGATGAGTTGGAGATGTTGTCTGAAGCACGTGCACGACTTGCCAATACTCAGGGAAAGAAAGCAAAGTGGAAAGCTAGGGAGGAACAATTAAAAGAAGCACATAGGTTGGCAGCTGTACAGAAACTGAGAGAATTGCGAGCAGCTGGAATTGAGTTGGCACCTAGGGAGAAAAAGAAGCGTGGGCTAGACCATAATGCAGAAATCCCATTTGAAAAGCTCCCTCAACCAGGATTTCATGATACTAGCAATGAAATATTTGATCAGGCAGCTCCTGATTTTAGCCGACTTAGGCTGCAACATCTTGATGGAGAGCTGAGAACAGAGAAGGAAGAGCGCGAGCGTCGAAAGGACAAGCAGAAATTGAAGCAGTGGAAGGAGAATGATATTCCTATGGTTGTGCTGCAGAATCAAGAGCCAGCTAAGAAGCGCAGAAAGTTGGTTTTACCAGAACCTCGGATATCGGACCAGGAGCTGCAACAGGTGGTGAAACTGGGACGTGCGAG